ATTAATGCAGTTGTATTACTGACAGGTAAATCCCATCTGCTCAGCGAGAAAAACACAGTCACTCCAGCCCCTCTAGTTATGGTAGCAGCCATTTTCCATTTCAAGCGCACATTTACAAGCTGCATGATTATGGAAGGCAACCCAGGTGTTGCTTAGCGCAGTGAGTCTCAGGCTCAGCTTGGCAATCACGATGCCCTCAACTCCCCAAACCTCCATGTTCCTTTCTTTCTGGCACTCATTGTTGAGCCCATCACTACTACCCTTCGAAACGTTCCCACACACCACTTTGAATTACAACTTCATCTCTCAACATTAACCCCTAAGCACCAGCACTATAGCTTAGTCATGCTAGCTGTCCCTGCCTAGGTCAGTTTGGTGGTGACCTTTGATGAACCCCAGCCCATGCAGTAACCTGTGCCCTCCAATGTACAATAGTCCTCACTTTATACTTTGAGGTCCCATCTTTCACAACTATTGCCTCCTCTGCTTTCCAGCATGGCTCCTTCAATCTTCAAAATTGAGTTCACCCAGTTCCCTGTCACAGCAATGTTCACCTCCTTTGACTTCATTGATCTCCCCCTCAGGATTGACCATGGTCCAGCTCCCTGACTGACTTGGTCTCATAGTCCTGCCTGCTGTATGAGCCTGGGACTTTGACCGATCTCTGTGCAGCTATCCACTGACTTACTGCAACACCCTGGCCTGATTGTGTTAGACATACAGAGCTGACCATGGCACACTCACAGACTGTAGTGATATAGAACCCCTGACTACTACAACTGGCTGATTGACCATGTTCAAGCCCCTGGACTGAGAATGGACACTACCTTTGGCTCACTGTACTGGGACCCCTGACTGTCTCCATTGATCTGACTTCTCCTCTTAGTCTGTAGGCACAGCCATTTGTTTGAAGCACAATGCAGTACGTTTGTCGCAAACATTTCTGACTTCTGGTGCAGGAGAAAGATTCACTTAGCATGCTCCCATATAGCGGCATTATCAAACCCGTTTACTGATGACTGCTGACAACCATGACAAGCTACCTCCTATCATGTCTACACTAAAAGGCAAGACAAGTCAGAAATACTGTGAGGCTGCAGGTTCTGAATGAGAAAAAATGCAGAATGGCAAGGAATGTGCAATGAGCATCCAGGCAGTCACAAAGTGAGTGAGCAGTAAGAAAACAAGTGAGGAGCTCTGAGATGCATCCTAGTCAAATTCATTATGAGTGTCCTGTTAGCAACGTTCCGACGAAAGCTGCTGGTGTGCTCCAAATTGCAACATTGAGGTGCAGAACTGTGTTGCAAGTTGCTCGGAGATGTGCCATGACGGTGCAGTGAGGTTGGTATATGGTCAATGCTACTGTCCATGGATGGGAAACATGCAGTTGCTGCCCATGGAGCGTGCTCTGAGATAATTGGGACTGCTGTTCAAGCAGGAGGGCTGGAAGAAAGTGACAAGTTGGTGTTGCCATTTCATGTCATCATCTAGTTTCTACCCAACAAGTGGGAGAATGAGAAATTGCATATAAATGAAAGTGCATATAAATTAGCTAATAATTAGGTGCTGATGCATGGAAATGGAAAGGGATGCAAATAGATATCTCACCACTCAATAGAAATATTCTCATCTTGCTGCTTTTGCCAACTTTCCAACTTTCTCCCCAATGCCTATGTTGCTGAGGGGCTCGGAAGATTCAGACTTTATTTTCTTAAAAATCTCTCACTCTCATTCATAAAAATACAATCTCTACATTCAATTTCTTTCAACTGCACAATCCTTTATATCCACAAACATTCTATTCAAATGCATAATACCCAAAAGCATTGAAATTCATTGGCCTACATTGAGGATTCTACAGGTATTTGTCAAACTGAAAGCCTCCTGTGAGTGGTAGGCTTTTAGAATAAGAATGTGACTTGCTCATGGCAAGAACCTGTATCTTTTGACGTGAGGATGCTGTTGCACTACAACTACCATATGGTTCTGGTTGACCTGCTGCTTTTATTGCAGTTACTACATGCCATAGGCATATCAAAAGAATTGGCAGATTGACTATCAACATGTTTGGCTCATTATGGCAGACCTTAAATGGCCATCAAATCCTGAGGTGGAACATTGTCCTGGTGCATCTGGTGCAGAAGTTTAATACCACCATCGTAGGCATCCCACTGTGATCATGTTAGGTTGTGAAATCAATTTTGCAGCACTACTCCTGGAATTTTCGCCATCAAACCTGTCAGCAGGAAGGGTGAAATAGCAAGCAATGACTTTTAACAAACATTCTTGGCACGTTTAAAGATTGTTTATATTTAAATGACTTTCACTTTTGATTGTTTCTTCCGAAAGATCCTTCACACTTTTGACTGCTCCTTTTAATAAGTCCTCTTTATAATTTTGACAGTTCCTCATAATAGATCCAATTCACTTCCATGTTCCAATAAGTTGACACACTTGTGCACAATTATGGCTATTTTTAACAATCCCCAAGGGCACCTTACTTTCTCAAAAGGGCATCTGACCTCATCCAAATACATCCTGGAACTATAGCCAATGCGATGCCTTACCTCTTAAAAAGAGATAACTTAGCTATCCAGACAAATCTGTAAAGTGTAGATCATCTCCTTCCACGTTTAATTTTATTTGTGTTTCACTTTGTGTTTCAGATGCCAAGGACACTAAAATTAATGAGAACGTAGCAAGTTTTGATTTTTATGGGCAGCTGCCCCCACAAAACTTATGTGTAAGACATAATCAGCCCCCATTCCTGCCCTCATTAAAATACTAGTTGCTGTATTCAAGAAGGAGATTTACAGTTTTGAGCCACATCCCTTATTTCTTTGATGGTGAAGAGATTTTTGTCAAATTCCACGGGTGGGTTTCTCTCTGCGAGGCCTAGTGTGTTTTCACACACTGTGGTCCCAAACCTGCCTCATTAACTACCTACCCTCACACCTGATGCTAGATGGATTCTCCCATTTGCTACAGTTGCAAGTGCTTACTACTGCCAGCATCCCTGGAGTGGCACCATCTTGGAGGCCCAGTTGTGTATCCAGTCAAGCATTGCAATCTGAATTTGTCATTCAGCAACATAATGAAATAGCAGCCACCAACCAACACTTCTCACTGCACACAGTGGCATGGCTGACACCACCTTGCACATACAACTACTTTCTGACATTAATTTTCAACTATTTCCTGGCCACAGGAGGGGTACCAGAGGTCAGGAGAACAGCTAATATGGTATCTTTATTCAAGAAGGGTGGTATGGTTAAAACAGAAAGCTACAGGCTAGTGAGTCTAACATCTCTGGTAGGGAAATTATTCAAAAAATTCTGAGGGACAGAATTAATCTCTACTTGGAGAGGGAAGGATTAATCGAGTTTAGTCAGCATGGCTTTGTTAGGAGCAGATCATGTCAAACAAGTTTGAATTTTTGAGGAGGTGACTAGGTAGGCAGATAAGGATAGGGCAGTTGGTGTAATCTGTATGGACTTCAGTAATGCTTTTGGCAAGGTCGTGCATGGCAGGCTGGTTAAAAAGTTAAGATCCAAAATTGGGTCCAGGGCAATTTGGCAAATTAGATCCAAAATTAGCTTAGTGGCAGGAAGCAGAGGGTAATAGTCAAAGGGTGTTTTTGTGACTTGTGTTCAAGTGGCATGCCACAAGGTTCAGTTCAGGATCCTTAGCTGTTGTTGTGTACATTAATAATCTAAACATGCATGTAGGAGCTATGGTCAGTAAGTTTGCAGGTGACATGAAAATTGGTGGTGTGTTAACCAGTAATGAGGAAAGCTTTAGACTACAGGATGATATAAACATTGACAGTGGCAAATGAAATTTAATCCTGAAAAGTACAAGATGATCAATTTTGGGAGGACTAATGAGATAAGGGATTATAGTTTGAATGATAGGACTATCGGAAATATAGGGGGTCAAAAAGGACCTTGTCCATAGATCCTCGAAGGGAGCAGGACAGTTAGATAAGCTGGTTAAGAAGGCATAATGGAATCTTGGCTTTATTAGGCAAGGCATTGAATACAAGAGCAAGGAGGGTATGATGAAGCTGTATATAACCTTAGCTAGCCCACAGCTGGAATAATGTTTGCAGTTCCGTCACCACACTATAGGAGGGACGTGATTGCACTAGAGAGTATGCAGAAGAGATTCACCAGGACGTTGCCTGGGCTAGTGTGATTCAACTAAGAAGAGAGACTAGATAGGCCTGGGTTGTTTTCCCTAGAGCAGTCACAGCTGAGGGGCCTCTGATTGAGGCATACAAAGTTCTGAGCAGCATAGGCAGGGAGAAACCTTTCCCCAAAGAAGAGGGGTCAATATACAGGGGGTGCAGTTTTAGGGTAAGGAGCAGGACGTTTACAAGGGTTTTGAGGAAAATCAATTTCACCCAGAGGGTTATAGATATTTGGAACTCATGCCTGACAAAGTGGTAGAGTCAGGAACCCTCAAGACATTTAAGATGTATTTAGATGAGCACTTAATGCCACAGTATACAAGGCTACAGGGCAAATGCTAAAAAATGGGATTAGAGTAAGTGCATATTTGATGACCAGTAAGGACACAATGGGCTGAAGGTCCTCTTTCTGTGCTGTAAAAACTCTTTGACTCTATGAATCTATAATCGCACTTTCCTATTCCTATGAATATAGGTCAGCAAGCACGAGTAGCAGTTGAACTGGACTTGATGTGAGGCAGGATATTGACAACATAGTCAAACTGTTCACAAATTCTGCAATAATAGACATGCCACAAGTGGGGCTGATAAAAGTAGATATGGGTGTCATCTTTGGATGTATGGTAGCTAATATATTTCCAGATGTTGTTTCCAAGGTGAAACATGCAGAAGAGAAATGGGAAATGATAATTCCATTATTATTCTATTAATTAATTCTATTACAGCAGGGAAGTTTAATTTGTGAATACAAATAGGATTCTATTACATAATCAGTGGAATCTAATGATATTTCTGTTTTACACGACAGTTGATTTCATTGGAGGATTTGACTCATATGGCTATCAGGGCCCACAGAAAACATCTCATTTACAGTTGCAACCCATGTACATGTAAGTAGATCTTTTAACTGCACTTTAAGTTAAATTTCTACCACGTTTTCTTTGTTGTTTGGTTCTGATTTGACTGTACAGGTGGCTTCAAACTGTTGCAATTTGCTGTGAAGGAGATAAGCTTATTCTATTATATTTCAAGGGTTAATTTCATGGGAATTCCCTCATCATCTGTCTTAATTTCAGTGGCAAATCTGAAGAAACTCCAGAAAAATGAATAGCATTCTTATTTAGTAATGACCAATAATGGGATCAGAGAATATATCCAATTTTTAATTGGATGTAACCTCACCAATTCAAAATCTCACGTATTTGAAAAGGGTTAGTAGTACCTGTAATCATACTCTAACAATGACTTATCAGTTTATCCATTTTCCTCTCCAGCAGCTCCCTATATTTGCATGTCTTACTGGCAAGTAAGTCAGAATTAAACTCTAATCAGAGCACACAATGTCTAGCCTCATGTAAATCGTTAAACTTTTAAGAAGCCAAAAGTCCCCATTTTCTGTTGGCGTTACTTCAACAAAATCATTGAATATAAACAATCTGGACACAATCAAGCTTTCACACCAAAGAACAGTGCATTGGGAAATTCTTAAAACGTAAAGTGGATGAAAAGAATAATTCACTTCTAATGGATAGGGGATAACATTGGCATTTAAAATCTATAATTTTTATAAGAGGATTTACCCACTCTATTCAATAGAACAATATATTATCAGTCCTGCAAGAAATATGTTAACAATTTATTATTGATTTGCCTGCACACAGAGCACACATTTTAAATCTTATATAATTTTGTACTCAGTGCTAGACAGTTTTACATAGAAATATAGAAAATAGGAGCATGAGTTCAATATGTTCATGGCTGATCACTCAGCACCCTGATATATTTCTAATCAGTAATAGAATTAATTGTTATAGGAAAAGTGGAGTTGGGGATTATCAAATCAACCACGATCTCACTGAATGGCAGAGCAGACTGGTTGGGCTGATTGGCCTACATTTGCTTCTATGTCATTGAATCATACAGCATAGAAACAGGCCCTTTGGCCTACCATATCTCTGCTGCCCAACAAACACAAATTACACTTATCCCATTTACTTGCTCTTGGTCCATATCCAACTATGCCCTGGCATTCTAAGTGCTCATACAGATGCTTCTTAATTGTTGCAAGAGTACCTGCTTCCACCATTCTCTCTGGCAACACGTTCCAGTTTCCATCACCTCCTGGGTGAAAACTTTTTTTTTATTAGATCTCCTCTAAACTACTTAAACCTCACCTTAAACATATCACTCTGGTCTTAGACATATCTACCTTGGAGAAAGGATTCTCATGATCTACTCTGTCTATGCCTCCCATAATTTTATGTACTTCAATCAGATATCCCCTCAGACTCCTCTTCTCCAAAGAAAACAGACCCATCCTATTTAGTTTCTCCTGATAACAGACTTTTCATCTCAGGAGACATCCTGGTGAATCTCTTCTGCACCTTCTGCAGTGCAATCATGTCTTCTCAATAGTGTTGGCAACCAGAACGGCACACAATATTCCATCTGTGACCTATTAATGTTTTATACACTTGTAACAGAACGTCCTTGCTCCTATATTCTACCTCCTGGTTAATGAAGACAAGAATCCCGTATGCCTTCTTCACTACCCGGTCTACCTGTGCTGACACCTTCAGGGATCTATGGATTTGTACACCAAGGTTCGTTTGGTCTTCAGTACACCCAAGTGACCTACCATTCATTGCGTACATCCTTCCCTTGTTGGACCTCCCAAAATGCTTTACCTTACAATTAGCAGGATTAAGTTCCATCTGCCATTGCTCTATACAATTTATGAGTTGATCAATATCAGATTCCAACCTGGCACCATCCTCCTCAGCGTCAACAACACCACCAATTTTTATGTCATCTGCAAATTTACTAATTATATCTTCTACATTTACATCCAAGTCGTTAATGTATATAACAAATAGCAAATGTCCCAGCACCGATCCTATGGTATACTGCTGGTCACAGGCTTCCAATCACAAAAACATTCCTCCACTATCACCCTTTGCTTTCTAATTGCAAGCCAATTTTAGATCTTATTTGCCAGTTTGGATCCCATGGGCTCTTATTTTTGGATCAGCCTTCCACGTGGGACCTTGTTAAAGGCCTTAGTGAAATCCATGTAAACCACAACAACTGCACTACCCTCAATATATTTAGAGATAGTAGGAACTGCAGATGCTGGAGTCTAGGGTCTAGGCCCGAAACGTCAGCTTTCCTACTCCTCTGATTCTGCTTGGCCTGCTGTGTTCATCCAGCTCTACACCTTATTACTTCAATATATTTAGTCAGCTTTACAACAAACTCAATTAGTCAGACATGATCTCCCTCAAACAAATCGGTGTTGAACATCCCTGATTAATCCTGGCCATCAGAATTTTTTCCCCAATAATTTCACTACCACTGACATCTAACTAACACTACCTACCAGTTAGTGGTAATTACCTGGCCTATTTCTGCCGATCTTCTTGAACAAAGGAATCACTTTAGTTATCCTCCAATCATCTGGCACTTCATCTGTGGCCAGCAAAGTATTAACTATCACCAAAAGGGCCCCAGCAAATTCCTCCTTTATCTCCCATAGCAACCTGGATGCATCTTATCGGGTCCTGGGGATTTATGTACCTTTATGCCTGCCAAAGCATGTAATACTCTTTTTGTATTATTTTCCCATGGGATGTGGGTGTCGCTGGCTGGTCAGCATTTCTTGCCCATCCCTAGTTGCCCTTGAGAAGGTAGTGGTGAGCTGTCTTTTGAACTGCTGCAGTCCACCTGCTGTGGGTTGACTCACAATGCCATAAAGGGAGGGAATTCCAGGATATTGGCCCAGCGACAGTGAAAGAATGGTGACCTATTTCCAAGTCAGGATGATGGGGCATGGAGGGGAACTTGCCCTCGAGAAGGTAGTGGTGTTCCCAAGTGTCTGCTGCCATTGTCCTTCTAGATGGAAATGGTCATGAGTTTGGAATGTGCTGCCTGAGGATCTTTGGTGAATTTTGACAGTGGGTGTTTTGTAGATAGAACACACTGCTGCTATTGAGTGTCAATGGTAGCAGGAGCCGATGCTTGTTGGTGTGATGCCAGTCAAGCGGGCTACTTTGTCCTGGATGGTGTCAGGCTTTGAGTGTTGTTGGAGCTGCACTCATCCAGGCAAGTGTAGACTATTCCTTCTCACTCCTGACTTGTGCCTTGTAAATGGTAGGCAGGCTTTAGGCAGTCAGGAGGACAGCAAGTTCCTTGAAGAATGAAGGGCAAGGGCATCAGGTCCAAGGATTCTCGGATGTCACGAGATATTGTGAATTTGATAAAGAAAAAGAAGGAAGCATATGTCAGGTAGAGCACATTTTTAAAAAGAGATGCCCTTCAAAAGTATAGAGAGTATAGGGTCTTGCTTAAAAAAAGAAATTGAGGGCAAAGACAGGCCACAAAATAACTTCAGCAGATCAGATCGAGGAAAAGCATAAGGCTTTTTACCAGTATGTTTCGCGTGAGGGGATTACCAGGAAAAGAGTGGTACCTATTAGAGACCAAAGGGACACCTGTGCATGGAGGCAGTGGATGTGAGTGAGGTCCTAAATGAATACTCCTCATCTCTATTCACATTGAAGAAGGCATTGTAACTAGAGGTTTCAGTTGGAATGGTGAGGTTCCAGGACATGTTAAAAATTAATAAGGAGACGAGTTACTCCCTCATTACTGCGGTAATGGTTTCCTTTATCAATAACGCATAGTCCCCTCTATCATAACTGAAACTTCTATACCCTGCAATGTTGAGCTCCCACTCCTGTCCTTCCTTCAAACATGACTCACTGATTGCAACAATATCATATTCCCAAGTGCTGATCAATGCTCTAAGTTCATCCACTTTACCAGTCAAGATTCTTGTACTTAAAATAGATACAATTTAGCTTTCCAGACCTCCCATGTGCATTATCCTGTCCATGTCTTCTCCACCTACTGGATTTTCCTACCATTCATTCTCCATCTGCTTGGACTGTACTCCTGTCTTTACCATCTAGTCTGTGCCCCATCCCCTGCCAAATTATTTAAAAACCTCCCCACAGCATGAGCACCACCCCCCAGCAAGGATATTGAATCCATTCTGCTTCAAGTGCAACACTTCCAACTTATACAGGTCCTCGATATCCCACAAGCTGCCTCAATGATCCAAAAATCTAAAGGCCTACCTCCTACACCATCCCTTTAGCCACCTGTTTATCTGACCTATCTTCCTATTCCTATACTCAGCACAACCAGGTTCTGGAGTAATTCAGACATTACAACCTTAGTACTCTTCCTCTTTAATCTCTGACCTAACTCTCCAAGCTCCTATTGCAGGACCTCATTTCTTTCTTTATCCTTGTCATTGGTACTGACATGTATCATGACTGCCGGCTGTTCACCATCCCCCTTCAGAATGCCCTGCAGTCGCTCTGAAACCTTGCTCACCCTGGCACCAGGGAGGAAACATATCATTTGAGAGTCTTGTTTGCTGCCACAAAACCACATGTCAGTCCCCTTCACAATGAAGGCCCCTATCACCAAAGCCCTCCCAATCTTTTTTGCATCCACCCCTTGCTGTGCAGCAGGGTCAACCATAGTGCCACAGAAGTAGCTGTTTCTGCTTTCCCCTGAGAGACCATTGCACCCCAACAGTATCCAATACGATGTATCTGTTTGAGACAGGAATGACCACCGGGACTCCTGCACTGCCTGCCCACACTTACCACTTGTCTCCAGCTGGTGCTCCAACTCAGCTCAATCCACTCCCCTCCCGCTCCAAGTGAGTCCAATCCACTCCTCTCCTGCTCCTGCTCCGATGGAGCTCTTATGCTTTCTCGCCATACCCTTGGATCCCTTTATCCCTAAGAACTTCTTGAGTCATTGGAACATCCTACCTGTGTTTACCCAGTCTAATCTTGTTGTTAGAATTTTATTG